ATGGAATTTGTATTCATTCGGAGTTCAACAGGCCTGAGGCAGGCGCCACTGTGGTACAGCTGGTATTGCCCTGAACAAAATTGATGCCCACTGGAATCTGAGGGGGTAGCAGGGGAAGCCGGCCGTCACCCCCACATTATACGCAGTCTGATTGCAAAGTGACACAGTGCTGGGGCTAAAGTCACAGCATCTGCTTTCATGAGGAGGTTAGTGAGTGTAGGACTCTCTGAGGAGGAGACATTTAGAAAGAGACCCGAAGGAAGTGAAATGGGAGAGACACAGCGCTCCAGGCAGAGGGAATAGCGTGTGCCAAGGCCCTGAGTAGTGGCATTTGAAGTAGGGCAGAGTGTAACAGTGACTGTACCCCAGGAGAAGTGGTGAGGAGAGGTAGATGCCGTGCAAAGGTCACTAGAGTCAGGTCACTAGGCTCAGTCTTTTGACTTCTATTCTACAAGCGACAGGAAGCCTCTAGGACATGTATACTTACCTCATCTTAACCTTCTCTACGGGTTGCAAAAATTTTTGGCCATCTGCTGAATCCTTCTGATACCTTTTACAGAATAATGTTTTTAAATACATAAGATCCAGGGACTGTCAAAGAAACCAATTATCCGGATATATGTTGTATTAAGGTCCTGTGCTGTGTGGCACATTGCAGAGGATCCTCTAACTGCTGTGGGGAGAGAGGACTGGAGGCCAAGACTGGAATCGAGATGGGGCCAGAGTGGACCCTGCTTCCTTTACCCCCCAGGGCACCAGCCCTCGAGGTGGGAATGTTCTGAGTATCAGAAGGAAAATGTGTGACTTCTACTTATATGAAATTTATACTCTTTTCTCGTGCAAGAAGAAAGCTGCATAATTGCCATTTATATTTAATTTGCTCTCCTTTTTCATTGTTCTAGTGAATCTATGTTTTAGAATATCCTAATACACTGGAACATCAGTACCTTTTATAGAATTCATGAATAAATTTACATATATTGGAGGCTTCTGCCAGGAGAGGGTTTCTGGTGCTGTGGTCTGATCCGTCCAATCGGATCGCCTTGGCTTAGGGAGCGTGATCCTGTGAGGACCTGGAAAATGCTACACTGGTGTACACCACACTCCAAGCCACACGTGTTGTGCGGGAGCCCATGAGCGCTCACCAGGATCCAACCTTGCTGAATGTCAGCTGTGTTTCTCAAGCACTCTCGCCTCTTCTAAAGAGCCCTCATCTGGCTGTAAATCTGTTTACACCTGGTTAGACCTGCTGTCACCTGGAGGTGGCACCCCCCCCCCAGCCCCTCTACCACCTCATCCCCTGCCACAGCAAGTTTCCTGAGGTTGTTGCAGACAGGAAAAGTGATTTTTGACATTTGTCCTTTAAAATTCAGGGGTTCTGCGGAGAGTCCCGTGCTGGCTGTTCTCACCCTCTTTGTGTCACTCATGTGTCCCCTTGGAAGGACTTGAGACCTGGTGCTTTGAGTCTCTGTTGTCTGCCTGTCACAAAGAGACCTTTTGAACATTTTCACACACTCTTATCATGCAGCGGGCCACGTGGTACCTATCACTCTAGGCACACTATGGGGTACTGACGGGCAGGGGTGTGACCCTTCCTGTTTTATACCCAGGGGCATATCTGGAGTGGAGGAGGAAAGAGGCTTTCAAGGAAACTTGTCCCCCCCACCCCATACACAGACATTTTTTTCTTTTCTTGTCTAAATACCGCAGTTATTTTATAAAGAAAGAAAGCCAAGTACTTTATAAATGCGTGGAAATCTTCAGGTAGCCTGTTAGGACAAAAACAAACGCTGAGTGACTATGGCTGGGTCCACACTCCTCACCTCAAGCTGAGGTGCTGGGGTTGCAGGAAGATGCCACCTCAGCCCTGCTGAAAATAGTGATCTGCAGACTGTCTTCTACGCACCTCAGCAGAAGAGCCCCCCGACTCCCCCGGGCCCAGGCCCTAACTGTTCAGCCGTGTTCCCGAGCCCTTCGGTTTTCTCTGCTCCTCTGACTCTGAGCCCTGCTTGCTACAGACACTGCACCCCTGTTTGCTGAGTTCTTCCATGATTGTGTTAAATTGTATATTAGTATTCGCAGAAATGGAAATTTGAAGGTAAACTGATTAGATGCTGGAAAAACAGTTTGCTGAATCACTCACAGTGCAACTTGGCTAAAATGTCAGGGCACAGAGCGGCCTGACCTCTGGGTTACTCTCTGTAGCACCTGGCCAGAAGCAAAAAGCAGAGGCAGAGGTAAGAATCACTGAAAGGACCCTGGAAAACAGGAATTCTTGGGTAGAATAGGAAATGTTTGCCAAGAAATAGTATTCTGGGAAATAACGGAACCCCTGATGTGCTTTGTCAAATTAAGCTAAGCGTAGTTCAGTGATTTCAACAGAAAGAAAAGCAAATAGTTTCTAATGAAAAAAGTGCCCAAAGGCATCCACTTCCGTCTCCTTTATTCTCTCCGCCCTTTCTGTGCCCTTCAGCCTGGCTTGCCTGGGATTGATTTGGGGACTAGACGACTGGGCTCGTTGCTGTAGGATTTTGTGGGTTTTCCTAGGTGCGTTGTTGCGTATGGGACATGCTTAGTCCTCAAGGCACCAGTAAACTCCAGTTTCCCTGTATTTGAAGGTCTTTGAGAAGCAGGGGCACTTCGGATATTTGAAGCCTTACGTCCCTCATTCTCCTTATTTGTTTGTGTGTGTACACCCCAAATTACCACGGGAAATAACAGAACCTAGAAGGTGATCAGTGACTTAATACCAGTGCCAGCATTTGTCCCAGGAGCCTCTGGAGTCTCTCAGCTCCCCCTCAGTGTCTCCTTATTTGGAATACACTGGAGAAACACGGTTTTTCAGACCCACCCTGCATCAGTATACTGTGAAAATATTTTTAGCTGACACATTTCCCAGTACTGAGGCTGCCGGGAATGATTCTAGCTTTGAGTGGAGCTGTCTGAAAGTTTTCATCCACTGCCAGTTAGGCCTTCCTTGCTCGCCACCACTACACAACAGGGGAGCTGAGGGAATTCAGCTGCGTTCCGTTCTACCGGTCGCCAGGGTCGAGAAATATGTCTCATGCATGACCTCTAAAACCTCACAGTGAATGTGGGCTTATTAATAAGCCCATCCCCATTTGGCAGATAAAGACACTGAGGTCTGAAGTTTGTGATGAATTCAGCAAGGTCCCAAGGGTGCTGACTTCAAAGCATCTGTGACATCTTCATTCAGCTACCTTTGCTCTGGCAGGTGCATCCTTTCTAAACTTCTGGCTTTAGGAGCCAGAAGGTGAACTTTGAACATTGCTTAGTGATTCTTCTTTTTCCTGGTTCCCTCCTGGGCTTGCAGCCCTCCTTCATGTTCTCGCGGTTCCCTTTAAAAGAAACGCCTGCGTGTCACATTCCTCTTCTCCGTGGGTCTTCCAGAGCAGTGGCTCACTGGGGCACCGATTTAATGAAATAAAAATTTCAAGCATGTTTGGCTTGATTCTAGGTGATACAAATAGAGGATTGTGAGTGCTTTGTAGCTGAGTTTAAAGGGAAGAGAAAGGTGGAAACTAGGTCAAGTGTAGTAACTGGGTAATGTCTTCTTAAGGGATGCGTAGTGAAGATTGAGCTCTTAAAAATGGAGAGAGAAATGGCACATTCATAGTCCATTGTCACCTCCAGAGCCTGGGATTTTGAATTATGCAGTCTATATTATTTACCAGTTATATTATTTAATATGTCCCAGCAACTGGTCTAATGTATAATTTATATGGATATTGATTTATTCGTTCCTAACATTTTGAAGTACATACTGTTGTTATCCTCTGAAAACTATGGCGAAGGGAGGTTCATTAGCTTGCCCAAGGTGAGAGGGTTGCTGTAGGTTGTTGAACCTTGCCCAGGGTTAACAGTTGGTGGCAGGAGTGGGTGGAAGCCAATCCTAGAGAGGCTGGCTGGAGCAGCCGGAGAGCGCTTCTCCGCTGTGCTTACCTGCCTTTCAGTGACAGGAGCTCCATTTCACGATTTCATGGGTTTTTAAGGATTATTTTTCTTTGTAATTAGAACCAGCTCGCCATACAGTTGGAAGGGTAAATATTTGTCATGCTTAGTGACAGACATGATGGGTTAAAGAAAAGAGGTCTAAAACGAAGTCCTGTACTTTCTCTTCCATATTTCTCCGTCTGTATTTACTTTAGGAAAGGTCACTTGAGCACAAGTGCTCGGATTTCATGCTTCTAGCAGCTACCCTGGTGGCTAAAGCCTTTCTCTACAAATAGACTTTTAAAATATTTGTAATAATGTGCATTGTTCTCAAATAGGGGCAGTTTGGTCATTAAATGAGATCTGAACGAGGATTTTGGGGACCGTAATTTTCAGAAACGACGGCAGTTATCAAGTGATTTTTGCTTTGCTCTCACATGGTGGCCCTTCTCTGATGGTGCCCACTGGATGGACACTTACCGGAAGGGACAGTGGTTCTGAGAGACCTGAGCTGTTTGTCTTGTCCATCAGCTGCCTGGCTCTGGTTTGTGGGAGAAGAGAAGAGGAGGGAGGGGAGTAAACAGCCTGAAATGGTAAATTACTGGAGGTTCTTGAGAAAAATAGAATTAGAAACATTTGTGGTTCAGATGAAAATAGCACATTTCCTTTCGGCTTGCACTGTGGGGGTCAAAGTGCTCCAGGGAATAGAAAATAAATAAAAATTGATCCTTCACCAGTTGAAGGAAATGTTCTGACTCTGGGAACTGAAACGACAGCTTCAGATTTGAAGACACTGAAACCAAGTCAGAAGGTTTAAAAATAAATAAATAAATAAATAAAAACCACCAGGAGACAGAGAATGAGAGAGAGAGAGAGAGAGAGAGAGAGAGAGAGAGAGAGAGAGAGAGGATGGGCTGCCACGTTAGCTGCTGTAGTCTTTGGGGAATGACCCAGTGCAGACCTTTTCTAAAACTGTCCCCCAAAAGCAGGACCTGATCAGGCGTGGATGCTTGGTGCTCACTGTGGCCCTTTCGTTTCTTCTGCAGGTGAGAAGCCTTACAAGTGCTCATGGGAAGGATGTGAGTGGCGTTTTGCACGGAGCGATGAGCTCACGAGGCACTACAGGAAACACACAGGTGCAAAGCCCTTTAAATGCAACCACTGCGACAGGTAAGGGGCCAAGGGAAGGATGATGTGGATGTGGGTTGGAGCCTGGTCTGTGTGTGTGCTCTTGGGTCTCACAGATCCTAGGCCTTGGAATGGTCTTGCATTTCTCCACCAAGAAAACTATTGAGAGGGTGTGTCCTCCTGTGTGTAACCAAGAGGTGGTGTGAATTCCTGATTCCACTTCAGGAGCATTAACTAGTGTAGGCCCAGTGCTGGACACACCATCGGCGAAGCTGAGGAAAAAATAACAGCATAGACAGTGACCACTGGAAGCTGCTGCTTCTGATCTTTTTATTAACATCACTGCTGCTTTCTCTCCTTCATAATATAAAAAAGAAAAGAGAAAGCTTGCTTAGCAGCAGAAAGGTTACTTCATAAGGCTTTTCTCGGTAGTATCATTGAAAATGAATTTACTCAAGAAAGTCACCATCCTTGGAGGTCTGAAACATTCTTGTCCTCTTTAGACAGTCCAAGAAAGGACCCAACAGACGGCCACGCTTTGAGAACCCAGTTTCTGAACCTTCAGCATTTGATGGCTGAAGAAGCATCACGTTGTAGCAGATACTCCCCAAGTAATAGTATCTGACAGGCCTGGCCTTATCAACCAATAAACCCCAAAACGGAGACTCTGCAGGCCAAGGTGAAGGCAGGATTAGGTTTAGACATAATCAAATAACGGGCTTGCATCTGAGCGTGTTATTCTTCTAATCCTATTTCTGTGTTTAAAAGGAAGCTTAAGAAAATTAACCAATTTTTAATGCAATACTAAAGGTCTCGGTTATGATGAGAAAAATGCTTCTAATACGATAAAAGCCCCTGAAAGCCTCAGGGTTCCCTGGTGCGGGCAGCAGCTCCCAGGATGGCAGGAGGCACTGAGCAGGATGTCAGCAGAGGTCTGGCTTCCTTGGGAGGAAGCGTGATGGCTTTCACATCCTGCCTCCGCCTTCTGTGCCCCGCACCTCCCGCTGGCCAGGCCTTCCTCTGCGGTGTCTGGCAGGCAGGCAGGCCAGAGATGTCCGAGTCTCGTGGCTGGCCACGCTGGCCTGGTGCTCCTTTAAAACGCTTACAAAGGCCCAGTTATGCTTTTCCTCCTTCTTTCCTTCTTCCGGAAGAAGTTATTTTCCTCTTATCTTCATTCTTTGAGGACTAAGTAAAGGCCCCTGCCTCCTGCAGCCCAGAGATAGCCTCCCGGCACCCTCAACACCCCCACCCCACCCCACTCAGCCCAGCCCTGAGGACATGCGTTTGGCACAGCGATGGCTGCATGTCCATGAGTCAGCAGCTGTCCTTTCCAGAGGTGCTCCTGTGGAAATCTCCCTCAGGGATAGATCCATCTCAGGGTTCCCCAGGTTGCCCTTTTCTACCCCTGGCTGATAAAGAAACCATGAGATAATGGCTCCACCCCCAGCCCTGCGAAGGGGGACATTCCGTGATGTTCCCAGGCATGAGGGCGAATTCTCTGTGAGCCATCACAGCACAGTGGCAGCAGGGACAGTCCTGTCTCTGAAGGATGTTGAGGCTGTTTGTGGAAGATCATGCATGTCAGGGCTTCTCCCGGTCCTTGGAAGAGGACAGGATTCTGGGGAACTTACCAGTGTGTGTATTCCTGGCTTCTAGCAACTCACTCCTGAGGAATTCACAACTTCTCAGCAGTCAGTGCATGGTCAGAAGTCTCCCCGTTTGTGTGACTTTGATGGGAAGATTTTCCAAACTCACCAGAGTTCTCAGGGAAGGAGTCTTCCGGGGTGACCGTTTGCTGGGCGGATGGTGGACCCTGTGCTGTGACAGTAGGCTGGTGTGTGTGTGCATGGAGAGTTTCCCAGGGTGCCGGAAGTGAGAGGCAGGATTTCGCTGGTGCCCAGGGCAGCGGGCAGCACCTGGCTCCGAGTCGTGGTGAGTGTGCTAAGAGGAGGCAGGCCTGCAAGGGGGCGTGGTGATTGGAGTGACCCCGGTTTCTCTTTCCTGGAAAGGCAGGCTGGGGCAGCCAGGAAGCCGGCATTCCTTAGGGAACTTTCACCTGCAGAACCAGAGGGCATCAGAACCCTAGTGAAATTAGAGCAGAGACGGCTCCATGGAGAAGCCGAGCAGGTTGTGAGCGTCCTGTCCTGTCCTTCGTGTGTGCAGAGCCAGTCTCACCTACGCTTTCATTTTATCAGAGAACAGATTTTTTAAAACGCACGTGGTGTGTTTATTTATTTTGCCAACACTTATTGAGATTGTTAAATGTCATATGGAAAAGTTTCTATTTGTGGCTGTGTCTGGAAAAAGAGAAGCAGTTCTTGCGGTGGAGGCCTGCGGGGCCGCGTGACTATCAGTCACTGGGGTGGGATGGCCATCACTGTCCACTGGCCGTGGCCACAGGGCGCCTCCTTTTCCGCTGCCTTTGCCAGTTCTTTTTGCCTCCTCAACATGGAAGCAAATCCTCGTTGTCAGGTTTTATCCTCTTTGCTCTGTGGTTTCTTCTCCACCAAGAACGATGGCTTGGTATCTGTTTATTAGAGCGCTAAGCCAACAGTTACACTGGGCGGCGGCACTTACATTCCTGTCTCCCTGGCCCTGCAGACCCTCGGTTCTGTCTCCTCCGCTTCACTAAGGTGGTCGTGCCTGTTCCTTACTGTGAGACCCAAGCTCGAGGGCCGCCGGGGGACCCGTTCCTGGAGGGAGGGGAGGTTTTCCAGCCTATGGAGCACCAGGCGGCCACGTCCTCCTGCACGCTCAGCAGTGCTGTGAGCCAGGGGACTGCTGTGAGGGTCGGACAGGCGAGGTCTGGGAAAGTTTGACCTTTATGGCAGTGCACATGTGGGTGGTAAGAAATACCAGCCCACACCTTCACCCTCTTCAGCTCTGGAGTTTGGCTGTCAGCATAGTTCCCGTGTGACTTCAGTGCGTCTGTTTTATAAACATGAGAAATGACCATTGGGGCTGACTAGTCCTCCTGAATGGACAAATTTCAATTATTAAGGACCGTCTAATTTAAGGCCACCTCACTCCCGTGTAGCCATAAACACTCCCTCGGGGTATATTGCCCTTAAAATTGTTTGATTGTGCATTTCTAGATGCTGAGTTTATCTATTGCCTTTTACTATTCCTTTGTGAAAGTCAGGAGCAAATATAAATTAATGAATATAAATTAATCATGAGTAAATGTCTTGGTAGTGTATTGAATTTAAATAAAACCTCAATGGTGAGGAACCTGGTCTAATTCTAAGTGTACATTTTCTAGAATTTGTATAAATAATGATGTTAATTTGGTTTGGAAGGCGTGCAGTTATGTCTCATACCATGTTAAAGAACTGCTTTATTTCCACTTTTCCTCCTGAAAAAGAGAGAAGGGCAAGGGCAGATGCTTGTCCATGTATCGAGCTAGACTCCCAGCAGCTTCTAGAAACCGTTTACTGGCTGAGGACACACATGGCTGAGTGATCTTTTCCTGAAAGTTCCAGGACGTGGAAAGGAGAGTGATGCAGTTGTACCCACTTCCGGGACTCTGTTCTCTCCCCATCCAGAATCGCTGCACTCCTTTTGGGGACAGGCAGGCTTCCTGGTGCCGACTTCGATGCTCTCTTGTAGGTCCTGGCTGTCTCTGGCTTGAGCACTTAACCTCCGGATTCGTGTTCTAGTTGCTTCCGTGACCAGCAGCCATGCATTTAGTATAGTGTTTATTTACTTTACAAATTTTATGTCTCACAGTTCTGTGTGCGAGAAGTCCCCTTGGGTGTCCCTGGGTTGACATCAAAGAGTCTGCAGGGCTGTGTTCACTGCCAGCAGCTCCAGGAGAGTCTGTTTCTTTGCTTTCCCAGCTTCTATAGGCAGCCCGGCTCCATCCTGGGCCCGCAACTCCCATTCTGAGAACCCTCAATCCCACTGCGGCCATCTGTAGGAGGATCTTCTAATTCGCTCTTTTTTTTTTTTTTTTATGGTCTTTTTCCTTTTTATCGGTACCAGGGATCGAACTCATGACTGCCTGCTTGCAAGGCAGGCGCTTATGCCGCTGAACTAAATCCCCAGCCCCACCCCTTCCATTTTTAAGGACACTTCTGATCATATTGGGCCCACCTAGGTAATCCACGATAAGTTCCCTACTTGGGGCTCAGTTGATTAGTAAATTAATTCCATCCACAAACACAGTGCTCTTTTCCATGTAGCCCAACAGAGCCGGGGGTCCTGGGGATTAGGTGGACATATGTGAGGGTGGGGCAATGCTGCCTCCCACAAACTCCCTAAATTCATAGCTCAGCTTCTGTTTGACATGGGTAGGAGGATGGGCTTCTAGAGTCAGACGACTAGGCTTTAAATCCTGGTTTGGCTACTGTCTGATGGTGATGGACAGCTCATCTAGGTTACCTGGATAAAGGAAGAAGGGAGGGAAGGGAAGAGGGGGAGGGTGGGGGAGGGAAAGAGAACAGGCAGTGGACAACACTGAGCTGTGCTCCCAGGACAGGGCAAGTTAAATGCTAACTGATCTGCAGCTTACGGGACATTTTCAGTATACCAGGGAATTTACCCCTGCTTAGAGCAAGTTAGAGCTCCTGTAGGAGGGTCTGTAGGGGATTATCCAAATAGCTTGCTTACACCAAAACGGGACCTGAAGTAAGTGGGTGTAATGGGCAGTGTTATTATTCAGTACCTTGTTGGATTCAATTGTTTTCTGCTGTGGTTCTCCCATTTTTATCAGTTTTCATTGTGCCTCTATCCTGTTTCGCTTTGTTTTCTTGGGCGGAGGAGGGGGGAGGCGGTGTTATCCTCTCTATGTCCCTATTTAAGGAATGAACACAAACAGAGGGTGTGGAGAATGTTGGGGTAAGGGGTCAGGGTGGATTTTTGATTTGCTTGTTTTTAAGAATGAGCAAAACACAAGGAAATCCTGCTTTGAGCAGGAAATGCCATTAACCCGAGCTGGGCAGCTTGCTGACATCCTAACTGAGAGTTCAGACAGTGGGGGTGTCTCTGGCTTCAGGGGAGCCTGGAATGTTCTCCCAGGAAAGGAAGAGGCTTGTTTGGGGAGTGGGACCCCAAGGGAGATCACCTAACCAAATCCAAGCGTGATTGCTCCATTGGTGACTTTGGATTGAGACTCCAGCCTGACCCTGAGACCATAGTATGCTAGGATAAAAAAAAACACCTACTCAGGAACCTGCCTGAGACTGGCATTGGCATCAGAGGGCATTCATTAGCTCAGGTTAGCAACAAGAGTAGAGTTAGCTTTGGCTCTAGGCTTGATGGCATCCAAGTTCCCAGATGCCATCATCAGAACTTTGCTTCCTCTTGCCGTGCCCGCCATCGCCATTACCCTGTAGTCTTCCTGTGCAGGCAGGCCTTTGCCCACGGTGGCTCCAGGCTGATATCTTCGAGGTTTAGAAATCCCAGGGGAAAGAAAGCTTCTGTCTTCCAATAATTTCAGCAGCTGTCCAGGCCACACCTCTGCAGGGCACGTGACTGCCGCTTCCTGGAAAAGGTCAGCCCCATCCTGCTGAGAATGTCACAGGTGGCCACTCGGGCAGATCATGTGACAGCTGCATCCATTGTGATGCTGGAAAGGCTGCTCAAGCAAGAGCCAGGGGGACCAAAATATGGTCCAAAGAGTGGCTCAGATACTCATTCGCACGCACAGTTCACAGATGGCACCAGGAAAGGTTGCTGGGGTGATACCGAGGGGCCCCCACACACCCAGCACAGTGGCTGCATATTATCACATACTCCACCATTCTTTTCCTTGACTTGAACGCAGTGTCTGCGTGGCCTATCAGCCCCTCAGGCAGCATTTCTGGGCTTTTCATTGTAAAGTTCAGTACAGAAATCTAGGTATTGAAGTTCAAGAGCTGGACTATTTATTCAGTGATACACACTAGTTGTTCTTTACTGTGGTTACGGTCTATGAACATTGCTGCGTGCCTTCAAAACACATCCACATCATCTCTTCTTTAACAAGGACAGTTGCAGTAGTTTACCAGGCACTGAGCTCTTGGCGTATGCCAGGCGGCATTCTGAGAACCTGGCACAGTTCATCTCACTGAGCTCTGGCGACCTCCTGAGAGAGCAGTGCTGTGTGCACCCCCCTCCCCCAGGAGGCATTCAGGGACTCGGTCACATGGCTGCTGGAAGATCCCACTTCACCCGGCTGCCCAGCACGCTGCCCCGTCGCTCAGCTCCCGTGCAAGGTCCCCCTTTGCGAGTGTGTCGGCAACAGAGCTATTCCCCGGGCGTCGCTAACACCCTCACTGTTGTTTCTGTGTTCCAGGTGTTTCTCCAGGTCTGACCACCTTGCCCTCCATATGAAGAGACATATCTAACATCCCTGCGGGCCTGAGTTGCCATGGCGTCGGCTGATGTCCCAAGGAGATGCCGGGTGGCAGGGGGCTGGACTTCCAGTGGGCGCTCGCTGCCTGGCAGAAGAAAGTTCTCACTTAGAAACCTCTTGTGTACACACACACCCACACACACCCTCTCACACGCAGACCCACACACACCCACACTGTCACGCACTCAACTGTATTTAAAATATATACGTCTATTCCTTATGCCTTGCCCTAGCCAGATGATAGAAGACCAAGGAGAAGGAAACCAGGTGGACTCAGCAAGGCAGACTGGCCGCTTCCTTCAGCGCTATTGGAATTACTTCCTGCTGCTGCCAAGGGAAATCAAAGCAAACAGATTCAACGTCTCTGCCGGTGGACGGCAGTGCGAGGGGCTTATTTAACCCGCTTCTCCGTGCAACTTGATAGGAGAGTCCGGCGTCTTAAAGTTGCTTCTGTGTAGCACTAATGTTTCTTTTGAAATAGTTGGGGGAAAATGACCTAGAAAACCAAATTGCAGTTTGGTAGCCAAAATTAACTCTTGGTTTATCTGTCCTTTGTGTGTGAAAAGTCCTCCTATTCTGTGCGTCAGACTTCCTCACTGAACTGTTGATTGGTTTTGGTTCTTCTTAGTACCATTGAGATCTTTCGAGTTGATACCAACGGCCTTAGCGGCGGCAGACTCTGGAATAACACGTTGTGTTACACCTTTCTGGCCTGCATCTCTCTAGACTTCACTCTCCAGGGAGGAGTTCTCTTTACTTACTTTTTGACTCTTGCACACCATATGCACTAGGGATTCCGGAAACTTCTAGCATGACTGCAAAGTGGCCAAGAGAATAAAGTCCTTGATGATCTATCACAGTATCTCCCTTGAGCCTCACCTTATTGCCAGTGCTAGATTTTTTCTTTTTAATCTCTCTGTTTTTTGCTAAGGAAAACTTGAAAAGCTTATTTGGAAGCTTAAATGTTTTATCTTTTCTCCATGGACCTAACCTCTCCAGGACACTGTCGGCACCTGGATGTCCAGCTCTCAAAGCAGCCGATCAAACCGGACATCACAGTTCTCTCATCTTCCTTGAGGCGCGATGACCTCAGCCCGTAGTGCTCGACCACTGTGCTGTGTGTCACTGCTACCCCCTAACCAGTTACAGCCTAGATGTCACTAGTCTCAAAGGGCAGCTGCGTACTTAATCTAACTCTGGGTCATGACCTGACAAAAGCCAAAAATACCACTCTCTCCAGGAGTGGGGGAACCTGAGGATGCCTCCCAAGTCTAGTGGCTTCACAAAAACATCACCCTGTCTTCCTCTCATACTCACTGAGCCCACATTACCCGGCTGGTTACAGTATACCATTCAGAACACCATGGTGGGAATCAAAGGTTGACCTTTAAGGGAAGGGTAGAGGTGTTTCTTTGGTGATGTTTCTAGGTTTTCTTTTTTCATCTTTTGGGGGGCGGGGGAGGGACAAACAGGCCCACCGTGACTTGTGACCGAGAGTACCCAGGATCAACAGAACCCCACTTTTACTCTGCAAGCTGACTCCAAGAGAGTCCGCAGTTCTCAATCACTCCCTCCTCCCAACACGCACACATCTGACTTTGGTCTCTATCTACCCACACTCTTAGCTAGCTGGCGCTGGCCTCAACTCCAAAGACTGCCTTTAGGACCATCCAACGGCCTATGCAAGCAAGCGGGGTGGTTATTAGGACAGATTGTATATTTTGTATATTCTGGGACCATCCCTTCAAGACACGTCTCAAAAACAAACATGGCATTTGGTCCGCACATGGTTGCTGCTCCTTCGTACCAGCTGGCTCCCCTCCTGTCCTCCTGTGAGTCTCTGACTCCTTGACTGTTAAAATGTCACCCATGTACACTTGGGATGCAAAACTGAAGTCTTTAAAGGAAATAATATAAGAAACATAAACACATATATGACAGCAACCTTCAAGATCCTTGACATTTTGGGTTTTCAACCTGCTGCAACTTTTGTTTTCACTGAAACGTTGGAACTGCTTGTCTGAGGGTAAAGGAACCTTGTCACAAATGCTGTAGTTGCCAGTTGGACACCTGGGGTGTTTCAAGGTCTGGCCCTTAGAATTTTCTTTTACTTTTTTATTCCTTTTTTTCAATTTTGACCAAAAAAAAAGAAAAAAGAAAAAAAAAAGAAAAAACAAAACTTTTTAAAAACACATACACAAAACAACAACAAAAAACAACACCCTAAGCATACACAATGCGTACGCACACAAACACACATACACACACGCACACACATGCACACACAGAAAACTTGTCCATTTGCCGGAGGCAATTATGTATATGTTAGTTAGAGGGTATTAAAAAAATCAGTTTTATTCCAAAGATTTAAAACTAGACATGACTTAGAAACAATTTCTGGAGCACTGCTTGCTGACAATCTCATAGTTCTCTACTGCATTTGAGTGTGTGTTACAGCCAGTCCATCGGGGCGTAGCAGGGGATCATGTTGGAATGTGTGGTGCATCCTTTTGGATGAAGGATGTGCGAGGGACCTTGAACCTCAGCTGTATTAAACTAGCACCTCCGTCAGTGCACTAGACAAAACTTTAGACACCCACATTTTGTTGGTTTGGTTCTTTTCCTTTCCGTAGCAGAGCTCCAGTGTCCATGCACGCACACGCCAGTGGCAGCCGTAAGCCGTGGCTGCCACAATTTAGAAATGTTTTCTCCTGAGCTGGACCTGCACTTCCCTCTCAAAATGCTATTAAGGGTTTGTAATACTTAATTTAATATTCGAACTGACCAATGCAAAGCTCTATGAAAAAGAAAATTTTGTGTTTTTTTTTTTAAAGAACGCAAAAGAGTAATCGTTACTGTTTGCTCCCTGTCCTCATCTGTGGTCTTATTAGAATGTGGCAGATACAAGGTCCTTTGGTCCTCCTCAGTGTCTGAAATGTTCGGTGACTTCTCTCCTCTTTTGTATCAGTGAGGTCCTTTTTAATCTGCTCCTGACCTTTCCCAGAGCAGGGTGCCTGAACCACGATGATGGTGCTTGCTTGCTTGCTTGAGTCTTTCCTTGACTGTGAGAATTGGCCTGAGAATTCAGTGGGTGCTAAGTGTGTGGCTTTGAAACTACTGTTCTCTAGCTCAGATTGACACCTGTGAATAATAACCAGTCCAGACCGTGGGGTGAGGGTGGCCCCGCTCATTCTGGAAATGGAGTTTTGATAAATTGTCCGTCATCTCTGACGTGCACAGGTTTTCCAAGGATTAACCTGGGCACACTTGGCTCGGAGAGGACTGGTTATTTTCAGCAGTGCTTGAGGGGACATTTGAAACTCCTTTCTCATGTAAATCATTACCTCCTAACATTCCAGGGCATACCCGGTTTGAAAGGAAAAAGCAGGCAGTCCCCTCCAGCACACTGTCCAGGGTTCAGAGTTGGGAGGGTAGAAAGTGTTTCCAAGCCACTGACGCTTTTCCTCATTTCGAGCCGCGCTTCTCTCTCCTGCCACATGGCTGCAAACCAGAGATGTGGAAACCCGAGTTCCAATGCTCTCCTAGCTACTGGCGTCCTGCCCCGCTGTCGGTTCACTGGCCCCGCTCTGGCTGGTGGTGATGAGTATCGCATCCAGAAGAAATGTTTGGATTCCATGACAAAGCTGCATTTCGTAAAAAAAATATTGGAGACCCCAAAACGACCACCATGCTGACCATTGCCTTCTCCTCTCTCTGTGCTTTCCCTGCCAACGCCCCCTCTCGCAATGCCATCTTCTCCCACCCGCGCACCTCCTGTGCACTTCCATCTTCGATTGCCTGATGATAACAGGGTAAAAAGACAGCCAACCTCATGCACGATGAGCAGAACGGATTCCTAGTTTTAAGAAATCTTCTTTGAAGCCAGAGAAGATTTGTTAAAGACTTTAGTTTGGTATAAGGTTCCAGGTTATCCGTGTCTATTTTCATCAAGGGGAAAAAAATGGGGTTTTGGGGGTGGCTATCCAGCACTTTCAGAATGTTCTACCCACGGCCTTCACTCCTGCGTCCTTTGGGAAAGCCAAAAGAAATAAACTCAAATTGCAAGAACAACAAAACCCGGTGATTAGTTTTGATGGCTCGAAGTGATTTCCTCTGTGGGAATCACTTTCTAAATTGTAAGATACTGCAAGGCGGAAAGTGTTTCTGTCTTTTACTTGAGCCGTTTTTTTGGAGAAGGAAGAAAGTAGAGAAATTCAGAAAGAAGCAAGCCATTTGGATTATAAAAATCAAGCTTCTTGTTTTCTTTCTTCCTTTTAAAAATATTTGTAGGAGGGCCGGCATTTCTGGCCCCCCATTTGCACCCCACACGCACAGCACGTGTGAAAATGGAAACAGTCTGTGGAACCCGGGGGAAGCAGACTTGTGGGCGCTTTCTCTTCCGATTGCTGGAAGTGGCAGGAGAAGGGGCCCGAGGGGAGGATTGGATTCTGAGTGTGGGATGGAATTTCGGTAAACATGGTGATTTCTCAGCTTGGAAACCAGAGGCCCTGGCCTGCGGGTCTGTCCTCGCTTTCCTGATGGCCTGTTTTCCTCTTGAAGGATCTTTGGAAATACTTGAGATGGGACAATAGAAATGTGTCAAAGGAGGCAAAGACCATTTGTAAAGAATGTGGTATCTCCGGAGGGACCGCCTGAGGGTCCAGGGTTTTCTCTTGCTTTTAACACTCCCTTTAAAGTCGCTCCTCTTGGTTCCTATCCCAGCTCCCAGGGATGAGACCCAGACTGCAATTCACTTCCGCGCGCGCATTGCGTTCTTACAGTACAGTACTGTATTCTTCAGGTGTTCTGCATTTACATCTAAGTCCTCGGGAAACAGGTCTCAAAAATTAAGAGAGAAACCTTAGGCCATCACTTCCTCAGTATCCCAAACAAGATACTCATTCAAACAGGGCTTCCTCTCAGTGGTCACGGGGAAGGTTGATACAGTCTTGGTTTGGGGACTGTTTGTACTCTTTTTTTTCAACTGTGAGCTTTGGAATCTTAAATTGCTTTGACTCCAGCTTCTGTCTACTGCCATATAAAGGACCCCACGTCAGAATAATAAGGGTGGTGTGTATGCACACTCCCAGACACGTGTGCGTATGTACCGATTGTACCTTCGCAGAAGGAACCAGGCTACTGACGTTTCCGAGGAGTAGCCACCAGTGCCTAATATCTTTTTGGGGGGATGGATGCTTATAATTGCCAGTATATCAAAACCACGCTGGGAGTTAGTTCCACATAGAGGGGAGGGGCCGTGGGTGGGGAGAGGGGACATTTCAATCCTAGGCCTTTAGACTGGAGGCAGAAGGATTTCTGCACACCTAGATCCTGAAGGCTTTGGGGCTCATTGGCTGGTTCTCAACCATTTACGTTGTATCTTCCCAGCATGCATTGCCTGTCCAAACCCAGACTTAGTTTAGTTCCCTTATTATTTCACTTCTGCTTCATTCCAGGGAGGAAAAATACACCTGTTATGGCCAAGATCTCCTTGCTAACACAGAGGCAAAAATAAATGTTTAAAGTTCCGAAGCCCTCCCTTCCATGCCACAGCCCAGCCCCCTCTCCCTCTCCCCGTCCCTCCCCACAGCCCCCCAGCCAGGACTTTCCTTTCTGGGCTCTATTCTTAACCATTGCTTGAAGACATTTGTTTTGCACTATACACTTCCCTTTTGCCAGATGTGTCTAACAAGTGTGTTTGGGAAGACCTACTCCCAGCCCCTCCTCACTCCCCGCCACATTCTCTCAGGCCTTCTCTGGTATTTATATATCACAGAAGTACCCAGTCGTATAGCCCTCGGTTATGCCTTTTTTTGACATTTTATTTTTTTTAAGCTTTTTATATATATATATATATAAATATATTACTTTGTCAAGTTTTTTTGCTGTACAAAAGTCTTAAGATTTAAAACTATTATTTGTATTATATGATGGTGGTATGTTAATGTTACAAAATTATTAATGAAGAAAAAATTTATTTTTGTTACTGGTCTGTTTCATAATTCTTTTTTAAATTGGTATATTGTAAGATATCTATGCAAAAAATGTTATGTGACGCATTTTTATTTAAGAATGTAATATGTGTAATAAACAGTAGAATGTGTTTGGTCTTGGGATGCTTTTCTGTATTTCACCTCAGTTTATGTCACTAGGGAGAAAAAAAAGAAATCTTCAGAGAGCCCCAACCGGGCTTCCTATATTTCACAAACATTTTGGAAGGTGAAAAGTCTAAGGTCATTTTCCCGTGTGTGTGTGTGTGTGTGTGTGTGTGTGTGTGTGTGTGTGTGTGTGTAGACTTCATTCAGTTTATTCCTTCCAGAGCAGAAAGGAAGCAAAAGGTTGAAGATGATGAAAAGCAGTGTTGTAGACCGAGGTGGATGGTAGGAGATTATTCGTGCAGGCGTCTGGTAGAGGGTTACTGAGAGCAGTTAGTTGTCGAGGGCACAGGCCGATCTCTCCCGGATGGTATTAGGTAGGGGGAGAGAAGTGGGGACAAGGACAGGGAGTAACCGTGGTGAAGGACAGCCTGTGCATGTCCACAGGAGATGGCTGGGTGTGAAGTGGGCGAAGCGACTGACCAGGGACTGCAACCGAGGTAGCCCTAGAGAGTACGGAAGCGGGGTGCAAGCCCGAGCAGCCTCCGGACAGAGGAAACGGGGAGATGAGCGCTTGAGGGAGATTCTGAGAACGGAGCAGGTGACTGCTCACATTTTCTCCTCCACACGCGACTTCCAGGAAAGCAAAGGTCAAGTAGGAAGGGCTGTGGAGAACTTGACCCGGGGTGTTATTCCACCACCTCTGCCTGGCTGTCCCCCAGGAGAAGCGGTGTCACTACCCGGAAAGGATAAACACAGGGGTCCTGGAGGAAAGCTTTCTTTGTCATTCTTGGGGCTTACCAAAAAGGACTTGATGGGGAAACACCCTAATCCCGAGAGTCTGACAAGAGACCTTGCAACTTGTTGGCACCATGGAAACCGTGGTGGCAGCAGTTGAACCTGCCACGTGGGCACAGACATTTCCTAGTGCCAAACAGGAAAGCAGGTGTCAGAAGAGAGCAGAGGGTCTGCAGGAAAGCAGGGTGTTCGTGTCCTCTCCCTGCTACTTTGAATATTGTAAATATCTGCCGCCACATCTGCTGAACAGGCAGGTGAGCCGGACCCAGGCAGCTGAGGCCGAAAAAGAAGACACGGCATGATGTGGGAGCACAGCCCCGGGGATCTGCAGCCCTGCTCCCTGCTCAGCCGTAGCTCTAAGATGAGCTGAGGCGGTCAAGGCTCATGACCATAGTCACTTATCTAGAAAGTTCTTGGCACGAGGAGAGATGAGATAGCTTTGCAATACCGTCCAGAGCACAACTTACTCTGCTTCTCTGACTTATACAAGGGTATTAAATTAGACATTGTAGGTGGTCGACAATCTGCGCTGACTGAGCAAAAATGGTAAGGGAAGAGGGTGGTAGGTCTAATCTACATGGCATAAAGCCATGACACAGTTTATGTAAATGAATACTGTAGGAGATTGAAGCTTCCCTATTTAGAGACATAATTTTTGCTTAAAATAGATCAATATAGGTATTACCCATACTACAAAATTTTGAGCATGCATTTTTGCAATATGTGGGATGATTTGTCTTGGCATTAAATGATTCTGCGCCATGTTGGATGGTTTTTGGTAGTGTCTTCCTATTTGGAAACTGCAAGTAGTGTGTGTGTGTGGGGTGTGTGTGTGTGTGTGTGTGTATGCATCCAACCACCTAGAAGCATTTATCTCCATGTTAACTAGCAAATCAGATAATCCAGATTGGTAGCTGTGTGTAACTGGAATCGCACAGGCAGCAGTCTGAAAGTGAACCTGGGTATCTGAGGGAGCAGAGAGGGGGACAGAGCTGTGACCGCTGTGTGCTGAGGTTGGTACCCGGTTGGGAATGCCGGGCTGATGGGAAGAAACTTCATAGAATTACCAAGTGTTTCTAGCTCATCTTCTGTTGATAGGAGAAGAGGAGATGGTTCAAACTTTTAACTGAAACAAGATCTTGAGGTTACCGATGGGTGATGGTTTTCCGGTTTATGCATGAAGAGTCAGTTCACAGTTCTCCTCCAGCATTAAATATTTTATCTGAAAACGATCACTTTTGACTAGCTTAAATGTAATCCATTGCTTTTTAAAAAAAATTCTGCCTGATCATAATACAGCTATCCACAGAACAATGCTATCTTTTAAAATGATAAAGTGATTACACAGAAATCTACCGAAGGGTGAGAGAACCAGATGTATGTGCATCTGTAGAATTTTTCATTTCACATACACTGCATCTAAACTGACCATCAAGATCACATAGCTGACATAGGTGTTATTCACCACCATGACCATTTGCCCTCTCAGGTACAGCAACTGGGGCCCATAGCCAAAGATAGGCTTGGCCCCATTTGCACACAGTGAAGAGGTTGAGCTCAGAGCAGAGGGTAAGGGCGGTGAGCAGAGCACGCGTGGGGAAGAGTTTGGCAGATGTTGAATCAGGGATACCCAGGTTCAATTAGCCAGGAGGAGTAAGTTCAGGGACCTGTCATACACCGCATTGTAGTCTTGAAAATCATTAAGAGAATAGATCCGAAGTGTTCTCTCCGCAGAAATATGGGAGGCAATGGGCACAGTAGAGACTGTCATTATGCCATCCCACCACGTACACATATTCCACAACATCACTTCACATACAGCAGACCTGTGTTTGTATTCATCATTTAAAAATAACCCATTAAGAAACACAAATAGAAAAATGAGTTCAAAAAGGGGTAGACTTGATCAAGACCCCACGGCAGGCAGCAGACCCTCCTGTGGCCCTCACTATCTTGGGGGTGACACTAGAAAACCTGACCTAACCTCCCTGTGGTCTGCCCACTCATCGTGGACGGGGACTGATGTGCAGGTTCCTCAGATCTCCTGCGCTGGAACCGGAAGGGACCCTGGAGACATCCTTCCGTGTTTCTGTGTCACTCGTGTCAGCCGAGGTCTTAGGGCCCCAGCTTGCCCAAGGTCACACATCACATCCTTTGCGGAGCAGATGTCCCCTGAGGGTGTCTCAATGCAGTCATGCTCTGCTGGTCTTGGCAGTCTTGAGCCACTTAAGCGTGAACTTCACGATTCTCCTGATACCCTTGCACTGTTGGTTACTTTCTTCGTATTTTTCTTGAAACTGATATACTTTTTAAAACCCTGAATACAGGTTTTAGCTTTAGCCTAAGCAAAAATATTCCTCAAGCTACTGGCTTGATATACTGTTTCCTTTTAGATATAAATGAAAACAAATAACTCACATGGGAACTGCTTGCTAGTCTTCGTGTTAACATGCTCATTTCCCAGCAGTGGCACTTAAGAGTCCCCATCTTCTACGGTGTGGCCAGGCCGTGGTTCTAAGCTAATAGTTTAGTGCATACGACGCCCCCTGGAGCACATTTCAAATTGAATCTGAAAGTGAGTGCAAGTGAAAATTTAATAAAGACCGATTGGATGCCTGGGAAGTTCAGAGACAGAGTCAGAGACAGAGACAGAGATAGAGACCGTCAGAGAGAAAGACATAACGTGGCCTCTGAGAGGAGTGAGTGCATGCTTGGCCTCACCTCTGTCTGCTCCCTCAGGGGAAGGCGCCCCCCCCCCCCCCCCGAGATGGGGTGCCAAGGCCCAGGTCTGTCATTACCCTGGGACTGGAACCTTTAGCCACTGGCTTGGGCTGGACCAACAGTCTTCTCTTTTCCCTGCGCTCCACAGTCAGCTGTCACGCCTGAGAGAGGAATCACCCACACATCCACTCACCCTGGTGGCGTGGTTCTTGGGCTCCCAAGGCCACCAGCTAAATATGCACAGAAACACACAGCTCGGGCCCCCACAACTGGGCTTCCCACCAGCTTCCAGACACCCGATGGGCTGCACTCTTAAAGGAGATGTCACCTCTCCCGCCTCACTCATTGTGCGTACTTTAATGTGAATGGGTTTATTTAGTCTTTTCAGATAAGATGATTTAAGTGCAAGGCGGAGGAGAGGTAGGGAGATTATGAATAAAAGAAAACATCTGGAAGCCAGTGGTCAGTTTGAGCCTGGAAGGTTTGGGGAGCCGTCTGGCAGGCAGCTCTGCCTAGCACTGCTGGGCCGCAGGGGCATCAAGTGACACTGTGAAAGCACTGAGCAGTGTGTTTTTGCCAGCAAGGTCGCCTGCGTGATCAACCCAAGAGTCCACAGGAACCTGGTTCTACAGAGCTTATCAGGGGAAACAGCACCAGCAAATGGGTTGCCTCCAGCTAGATAAAGGCGGCAATTACTGTGCATATCCCTAGCTACCGGGCTGGGTCCTGCTCTGTAAAGCAACGTCCTGGTTTTGTGGCATGCAGACAGTCCCTTTGTTATATAAGTACCATGCGCCAACCGATTGTGCCACTGGAGCTCTCAGAAAGTCCCTTTGTAAAGACGGGATGGATCTGAGGCCGCTGGGTTGCACACAAAGAAAAAATCACTGCATGCAGGCTGTGCATACCATTGGAGCCAAAGCAATGCAGATCTGTGTCCTGTGACTTGGTGCATGCATGTTCTCAAAACATCTCTCTCTTTGTAGTCTCGTCACTGTGGGGGTTTTGTTTTCCTTTATCTTCTCATTTATTCCCTTTCCTTGCCTTTCTTTACTTAACCCTCCTTTCCATCTCCTTGTATTTGGCAAATCACTGTGAAGAACAAGCCCTCAGGCCCATACTGGGGTTGGGGTGTCTCCTCTTGGTGGCGCCAGTGGCAGGCAGTCAGATCCCCCAAGCCCTTTCCCTCCGCTGCCACCTCTCTACACTGGTCACCGCAGCATGTCGGGGAGCTTCCAGGGTTTCTGCACCATTGAGAATGGTGTGACTGGGAGAAAAATGTCCGTTGCTTTGCTGGTCTCCCCAAGGGCAGTTTGAGACAGAAAGTTGTGGGGTGCTGTGTCTTTGTCTGTTAAACGCTGCCATGTGGAAGACGGTGAGAGACCCGCAGGGGTCCTGGTATATGCAGCAGATTGTTCTTCCAGTAGAGATGAGCTTCTGTGCAGATGCACGCAGAGGTCTACTGTATGTGTTGTTGCCTAGGGTGAGA